TTTCAATGTATTTGGTAAAACACAAATAATTTTGCATGCATCTTAATGTCATTTATTCACTGGAATTATTAAAATAGTCTAATTAAATAGATTCTGTGTACTAGGCAGTGTTAACTACCAACGATTGAAAGATAACTTTGACATTGTCCCTGCCCTCAAAGAACTCTCAACTTGGTAAGCTAATTTGAACTTTTATAAATACTCTTAGTCCTCAGCACACAATTTAACATTTCATCATATACAGCTTTGCATTGTTGGTTATTATTTTCTGTCTATTCTATCAGATTCTTTTCTATTCTATAAGATTTTGTCTGTCCAACTACAAGAATACAATTAGAGCAATAAGAGTACCTTCATTTCATTGAGCTCAGCTCCTCACTTAACATAGAAGGAAACTAAGGTCTTGGACTATTTGGGAAGAGGCCTACAGAGAGGAAGGGACAGCTCTAATTTCACACAATGACAGACTCAAAGCCATAGCTCAGGTCTCCATGCTCCTCTCCAAGACTCTTTTTTTCATTACACATACTAGATAATAAACTCTTAAGAGCATGAATTTTCCCTGCACTCTGGCACTTTCTATAGATTAGATTTCCTCCGTTCTGACAGTTTTAGGGCATTGTTTAGGTATTTCAAAACCTGTCTGTGTGGCCAATTGAGAATAACATTATAATCTGTATTGTATGCAAGTTGCACTAATCTCTGGGTACAAATGAGATTTCATTAAAGTAATAAAAAAAAATGGCTATTAGCTCCCTATCTCCTGATGCAAGACCTTAGTCCATTCTTGTTCATCCCTTAACAACTGATTATCTTGGAGCACCCCATAAAAATACATCGCAGGCCACATGTGTTCTTCTCTGTTCTGCAGCAGGACATCATTCGTCAGGCATTTTTCAAGGAATGTTCTTCCATGTGGCATGGCTGTCTCTCCATGCCTGCCTGCTCCTGATGTAGTGAGGTCTGCAGTGGAAGGTATGAGTGTGTTTTTGAGGGTGAAGCTCATGTTGGGGTACTGCTGTTAAGATGGTGAAATCTCTCTCTCGCCATAGAAGAGCCCTCAAGTGGCACATCCTAAGGGAAGTAGATTCTCCCAGCATTTCATGAACAGATCTTATTCAGCTGCTAGATATTTACTTCTAATTTCTTTAGAGCTTCAAATTAGTCACACAAACCTGGTAAAGTAAGACAGAGGAAGGTGGTGAGGATGAGGGGAAACTCAGCTTTCCTTCCTCTCCCTTCTGCTGCCCCTCTGTGGGGTGGGGTGAAATACAGCAAAACCAAAAACAAACAGCATCTTTCTTTCTTTAGTTAAACAGCCAAACAAAACCCTCTAGGGATATCAACTTATGTAATAGATGTTCACAGTGGTTATTGGCCGCGAATTTCATAAACGAACAGAAAATTCCGATTTTTTTTTTTTAAGAAACACGCTGCTAAACTTGTTTCACACAGAAAAAAAATTAAAACCTAGAGAGGCAAAATAACTTTTTCCCACATAATGAAACGAGTTGTACTATGCTGGAATGAGCACCCAGAATTAGGTCTGTGCCAACTGCCACCTCTAACAGCAGAGGGATACAACTGTCTCACTGTATTAAAAAACAACAATTAAAAATCTCACCTCTGTGAATAAAGTTAATAAAAGTTTTCTATTATGAATGCATGTGATATATCAAGTGATGAGTGACATATAAATACATGTACATATATTCAAAGTTAGTTCTCTATACTTGAAATGAACCTTCCCAGTGAGTTTCCTGATTGTGATATTAATACATTTTATTTAGGTACCACCCCCCAAAACAGAAAAGGATGTTAATATTTCCTCATCTTTCATACAAATAGAATACCTTGAAACAAATTCTGTATCACAGAATCTTTAGGACATCTCAGCTCTAGGCTAAAACTGTGAGAGAACACATCGATCTTTATTTCTAACTTTCTTTGAAAACTGCTTTTACTCTGTCCTTGCATCCATAATATGTGTGATACTTCCAAACCAAATACACCATTTATGTATAAGATAGATAAGCCAACTTCAAGAAGCTCACTGAATATATTTTCACACTTTTTGAAGTTGTTGCTGTTAATGGAGCTGACTGAATTTGCAAAGTAACCCAATCCAGGTTTTGCATGGAAACAAGTTCATTGTCTTCATTATTTTGCTAAAATAACTTTTGCTGTGATAGATGGGCAAACCGTGATCCTGTGCTTAATTTTCTTTTTAAAATTCAGACAGATCCTCTCTTCTTGGTCAATCAGTTTTCTGATTTTGTAGCCTGTGTGATGTTTTAATAACAGAGACCTCTCTTTTGTTTTAAAACAATTGCTGCAATATATCTTTGTTTTTTAATGAGGTTAATTCTCAAACTAGTGGACAATGTTCTGATGGCCACAATGGTCTGTCTCCAAATAATCAAAATAGTTCTTTTATCTTTTAGTTTCTTTGTTTCGTCTTCAAAATCTGTTAAAAAACATGAACTGACAATACTCATTATGTTGCTTCAAAATGTCAAAGGCAGTTTGTCCTATACTAGCGTAAACTAAAAGACATGGCTAAGCTGTAGTGAGATTCAATATTTAGCATTCAAATGATTTTTGCAAATGAAAGGGGAGTATCACACTCAAAATCTCTTTGATATCTGTAAAGGGCATGGAAAGTTTCTTTACTGTTTTTTTTTTTTCTTTTAACTCAATACTTTAAATTCTTAAATTTTCGAATATGTTTAATGACTTGTCTTTTATCAGATAAGCATTTTAAATGATGAACATACACAGGAAGCTCATGCCACTTTTAGATCCTTACAAGTCCCAGGGGTATCACCATAGTAACTTGAGAGTACATTAGGATATTTAAACAAAAGCAAAGTGTCTTTTTTTCAAATTGCCTCTTATGGTAAAGAGCTACAGGGTGAGTGAGGCACAGAAATGGAGTGTGCTTGGCTTAGGTTCTGATAGCTCTGGCTCTTGGAGGTGTTAATAATTCCATACGCACTGCCCTCGAGTGTTTGACTAATCACAGAAAAATCAGAGTGAACTTCTTTGAGAATTATTAATGTATTTATTTTTGAGCATTTAAAACATAGTACAAATGTATTAATATTTCTACAGAAATTGTCCTGGTATTAAATATTTGAGTAACTTAGAGACATACACAAAAACATATATATCTATATCTATATATAGATATAGATATAAAACATTAAAAATTTAAAACATTTGTACTGTGAATATTTGCTTTATTAGTAGGAAATATGTTTTAAAATTATATACTCTAAATCTTGTAACTGAAATTCAAGAAATAGTTCCTTTCTTCCTTATTCTTCATTAGATATATAAGATGTTAATAATATTAACTTACAATTCTTCATGATTTTAACAGTTCAAAACATCCATGTTCCGAGATATTTTTGTATATATTCTAGAATGTTTCTGGCTCTCTTAAGATGTCCAGAACTGGAGGTATATGCCAGCTGCAAAATTATATAAGTCTGAAAGCTTTTGAAGACAATAATTCTTTTACAAAAGATACAGACATCATTCTTTGTGAAGCAAGAATAAAATCATGCCCTTTATTCATTGTCAATGGACCTGTTCCTCCAGAATACATTACTATCTATTATCTAATAGCCTATTACAGACTACAGAGCATGTAAAAGCAGTGATATTGCTCAGGGTCTAGAGATTTCATTTTTTTATTTCAATGCCATTATTAAATAACCCCTTAGATGGAAATTCAATACTGGCATGCTACGTGATAAGCTATGTTAATAGCTCGTGTTATGCAAGAATTGAGCAATTATTTGAAACTTAATAGCAGGCCTGTGAAAATGTATAATTGGACAGATTTCCATCCACTGTAACGTTATGTAGTTACCTTAGTGTTAGCAGATTAGGATGTGGTCCTTTGAAAAAAGCTCATGAAACAAGGCCAGGTTACTAAACAGAGGATTTCTTTTGTCTAGCTCTTTTGGGATGTGGAGGATAGAAACACTTGTGATTTGTTTGAACAGAAGTTGTAGTGCTAGAATGAGATTTGCACAGCAGAAATTTGACAGTTTTTAAGTTCTTTAGTTTTATATATGTCCCCAAGAAAGCAGGGTTTTAAAAAAAAAAAAAAAAGAGGCTTTGTAAAATGAAGAATGTTTCAAAATGTAAACATATAGTAAATAGGAAGGTTAATTTAAGCTTGTTCACTGTTGCAGAAAAAAATATGAGAAATGAGAATTGAAGAAGGAAAAATAATCACAAGCTGGTAGATGAGGTGTAATGATAATTAACGATGATGATGTTATTATATTCAGGAAGAAATGATACAGGGAAACCACAGTGGAAAGAAAGAGCCACCATGAAAATTGTAAAACCTTGGTTTATCAGCAGGAGTCACATAGCTGTGTACTCCTTCAGTTGAAATAGATGGATCTTACAGCATTTCATAATTCAGTAATAATATCCTTTATTGTATACCAGTAAAAACAAATAAATCCCTATCTAATAAATCACTGATCTAAAAATTAAATCAGAGGTGGGATTTTTAAAGGGGGCTTTAACTTGAAATTCTGAGTATTTAAACCAAAAGAAAATAAAGCAATGAACAAGAAAATTTACACACTGGGGATGAGGAAAAAATGGAAGAGGAAATAATTTGTTATGGGGTATAAATTCATGGCTCCTGTATATGCACGTGGTAGCTGAATACACAACGTCCCTGATACGGTTTGGCTGTGTCCCCATCCAAATCTCATCTTGAATCCCCACATGTTGTGGGAGGAACCCAGTGGGAGGTAATTGAATCATGGGGGCAGGTCTTTCCCACGCTGTTCTCGTGACAGTGAATAAGTCTCACAAGATCTGATGTTTTATTAGGGAGAGTTTCTCTGCACAAGCTCTCTTTGCTTGCTGCCATCCATGTCAGATGTGACTTGGTCCTCCTTGCCTTCTGTCATGATTGTGAGGCTTCCCCAGCCATGTGGAACTGTAAGTCCATTAAACCATTTTCTTCTGTAAATTGTGCAGTCTTGGTTATGTCTTTATCAGCAACGTGAAAACAGACTAATACACTCCCCATTCCAACAGTGTTTAAGTCCTAATCCTCAGAATGTGTGAATATGTTGTCTTACATGGTAAAAGAGAATTTGCAGATATAATTAATGATCTTGAGATAGGAAGATTATTCAGAATTATCTGGGTCAGCCAATGTATTATAATCACAAGCATCCTTATAAGAGGGAGACAGGAGGATCAAAATTGGAGAGAGACAATGTAAACACAGAAGTAGAGGTCAAAGAAAAGAGAAGATGCTACCCAGCTGGTTTTTAAGATTGAGGAGGGTCTGTGAGCCAGGGAACATAGTCAGGGTCCAGAAGCTACAGAAGGCAAGAGATCGGACTCTCCCCTAGGGTCTACATAAGGCATGCAGGCCTGCCAACACCTTGATTTTCACCCACTGACACTGATTTTGGACTTCTGATCTCCAGAACTGTAATTTAATGATTTTTTGTTGTTTTAAGCAGCTAAGTTTGTTGTAATTTGTTAAAACACCAATAGAAATCAAATATAATGCAGGATCTCTGTATACTAAGATGGTATACTGTATGCTCTTTATATATTAGATTATAATATGAAGTTACTAAGCCTTGTGTCTTTGTAGTTGCAGTATATCTCCCTTAGAAGTCCTTATACCTGTTGCAAGGACGTAATCTATCTATCCTAATTCTTAGAAACTGCCTTTCTTCTTTCTTCCTTTCTCGGCTTTCTGTTTAAAATATGCATATACATGAAACCTGATTCTTCCCAGGCCTCATGGGCATGGAAACACTTCTATGGTCATGGCAATTTTAATTACTCAGATTCCATTGGCCCTTGTCTCTACTTTGGAAAGGCTCCACCTCCAAAATATTCCTGGGAGTATCCAGAGGTTGCTTTACATTTGCTTACAAAACAAGCCATTTCTGGGGGATTACACTGCTCTCTGGACACTGAAATACTCCAAAGGGTATCTCCATCACATTTTGTTGTGCTAGTGTATCCTCTTCTCTGGTATAAGTGCCACTGCACCCCTCCTGGAGGCATCCCCAACATGTCACAATTCACAGGTTAATTTTTGTTAGTACTCCACTCTGCTAAATGAATTCCAGGCAGTGCTCCCAATATCTGACAGTTTTTAGTGACACAACATTGTTTCATGTTTTATTCAGGTCCCCTCTGTTATGGATCCCAAAGGGAATACAAATGGGAGATACCTGGGAAACTATTTGAATGTGGATGCCAGGCTGTCATCAGAATTGTCCCCTTCCCTTGACAACCTTGTGCTGGTATTCGCTCTCTTTTCTCCGTCTAGGAAGTCACGGCCAGCTTTGGCTGTGGCTTGAAGTTTGTGAAATCTCATGAAAATCAACTCGTAGGAGGTTTTCTCCACCTGTTCACCAGTGATGACATATTGCCTCTTGGACTTTGGCATGGATTCATGGTTACCTTCATTTTTATGCTTGTCTAAGCCTGATATTTTTAATGAACAAGGAGGGACTGTTTAGCATGCTTCCTCATGTGGCAAGCCATGATTACAACACTGATCTACTTGAAAAGATTGCTAGGTAAATAGTTTTTTGTCTGAAAAATAGAATCTCTTTTAAGTACTCAGTCTGAGGTTCTGTTGTCACAATATAAAGAATCCAATACACCTGTGAATGTTGTTTGCAAAGTTGTTATCAACTGCAGGGATTGTAAGAAGTTTTTATTCACCCCAACAGGAGAGGTGGATATAAGATCTGCCCTGATTAGGTGGAGCCTCAGTAAATAGCCAGAAATGCTAACTGTGGCCAAAGTGGTTTGGTAAATGCAGAGTGCCATCAGTGCTTTCCATCCCTGTGACTGAGTAATGGCCCATTAAAAATGATAATTTCAACTTTGAGCTAATAATTGAACTATTTTAACTAATAATTTTAACTTTCTTTATATCATTCAAGTGTGTTGTTAAAACCTGAAAACAAACAATAGTGATTCCACCCTTTACTCAAGAAATTTCTGTCAAGAACATGAGCCTCTGATAACAGCTCTGCCTTCATATCATTATTACTCTGTTGATGCATAACAAATTTACCTGAATATTAACATTTTAAAACAACAAAAATTTTTTATCTCACACAGTTTCTGAAGGCCAGGAATCTGGGAGCAGCATAGCTGGATGATTCTGAGTTTCCCCTGAGCTTATAATAAACGTGTTGCCTGGGACACCACTCATCTGAAGACTTGACTGGGGATAGGGGGTCTGTTTTCAAACTCACTCACTCCCGTGGCTGTCGGCAGGAGATGGAGACTACATTTCCTTGCCAATTGGGCCTCTTCTTTTGGCTGTTCCTGACTTGGCAGCTGGCATCCAACAAAGTAGGAAAGGGATATAGAGAAAAAAATCATACTAGTGCTTCCACTTATTACATTTATTAGAAGCAAATTACTAAGTCCAGCCCATATGCAACAGGAAAAATTTATATAAGGACATGATTACCAGGAGACAGGGACCCTTGGGGGCCATCTTGGGTGATGCTGCTATAGTCACCAATTTGCTGACTGAACTTGAACAAAGCACTATGCCTCTTGGATCCTTTGGTTTCTCTTGTTACAATTTTAGAGATTTTACTATATAATGCATTCTATATGTATCTGAGCTCTCAAGAGTGATAATACACTAACGAATGATTAGATACTAGAGGATGTAGATAGAAACATCCTCAGTGAGTGGCAGAAGTTAACTTTATTATCTATAACCCAATTTCCCAAAGTAACTCTTAATATAATTTTTTTACATCTGAGACATCCTTCAAAGATATTTTATTACAATGATCACTAGCAATTGTAATTGTAAATTATCATAGATTATTTTGGCATTCACTATTTAAGGATCATTTTTGAGATTTCCTCATCTTTCCATTAGGAAATTAATTGAGATCCAGAATGTTTTCTATGTTGTTTCCAGTCACAAGGTTAATTATTGAAGTTTATCTTTATAAAATATCATATGCAATAGGACTAGTTTTGCTAAAGAAACAAAATAAGTAACATGTATTAAGAACTTACTATATATATATCTAGCACTCTTCTAAATGCTTTCAATCCTCCTAACAATCCTAGCGAGGTAAAACCAAAATGATACACTTCGATTATATACATATATATAATATCATATACATATATACATATATACACATGTATGTATACGTATAATGTGTGTATATAATGTATATGTACATACATATATATAAAATATATATAGTGTGTATATATATGTGTGTGTATATATATGCATTAGCACAGTCAGGATTTGATACCACACAGTCAGGCTCCAAACCATAGGCTATCAACCTCTATTCTGCTTGCATAGAGGGGTCACAGAACTTACACATGATTCAAAACAAATTTTGGGAAAAGACCAGGATGAGAATGCTACTTACTTGTGCAATCACATACCCTGGCAATTGCAATCATGGCAGAGGTTGCAGTGGTTCCGCAATGGCTCGACGCTTCTTTAAGCCTATTCATGCTCAAAATCTTCAAGAAAATAAAGATAAAGAGGCTGAGTGAGTGAAATCTAATTTAGCATTTTGATTAGATCAGACATTCTTAAACTCTAGGAAGTCAATGTGAACCCCAGTTTCTTAGTTTCATGTCAAACTCAGTAATTTCACATTCCAAAAGCACCAAGTTTTCCTGTTGCTATAGTGCCTGTTAGATAAGATGATCTCATCTTTTGTCCACCCATGTTAGGAGGAAGCTGGGTTTCAGTGTGGGATAAAATGAAATGGTAGCTAGGTATGAGCTGACAAACACTAGCCTCAGTAAACACCAATTATTTCTCTTGTTTTTGTTTTCAGAGTGAATCACATGCTAGAGATTCCCTGGAATAGCTTACGATTGAGGTACACAGGATGACTAAAACTTCTCTGAAGCCTTTTTTGCAGTATTTGATCTATTTTGTAGCTACACTCAACAATTCACAGAAAATTCTGGGTGTATTTGCTGGCTGCTTCCGTGAAAACAGCATGGAAAACATAGCTATTATCTAATGCTTTGAAGAAATAGCCATTTGAGTCAGAATGTCAACACTGAACACTTTTGTCAATTTTAACATGTTTAAAACAAACTAATACAAGAAGTAGCATAATCGCTTGTATTGAGTATGATTGACCAGATAAAATACAGAACATCCAGTTAAATTTGAATTTCAGATATACCACAAATAAAATATTTAGCATAAAATGTTTGGGATGTATCTATACTAAAAAGTATTCATTGCCTATCTGAAATTCAAATTTAACTGGCATTTGTATTTTTACTTGCTAAATCTGGAAACTTTAATTCTGAGGCTTCAAGAAAAATTGAGAATGTTCTTGCCCGTTATGTTTTTTGGGTCTGGTGGTCTCATTCCTTAGTACTCCACTTTAAGCTATAAACTGGGTAACAGCTGGGCCTCCATATCTTATCTCATATCTTATGAGAAGAAGCAGAGACTTTGAGATTAGATGGTCCTAGTCCCAACCCAGCTCTGTTGTTTACTATATGCATGATCAGAGACAAAGTACTTAAGGTGTCTATATTTCATTTTTCATACTGGAATTATAGGGACAACGGCACCCACCTCACACTATTCTTCTGAGGATCAAAGGTATCTAAAGTTCTTGAGGTTTTCTTGTATAATAGCCCTGGAATACATTTTCATTGCTGCTTCCATCTTTCCTGTTGCTGTAAAAAAATATGTGGCTTGAATTATTTAAGACTTCCTGCATATAAGTATAAATGGTATTAAATTAACAGTTAATTCCCTTAGTTGTTTCCTTACATGAGTAATAGTTTTGACCCAGTCTCTGGATTTTTTCTATACAGTTTTGGAAATTTCAGGGTATGTCTCACTTACTCTTATAAATGCTTCTTTATATTTTCCATGTCCAGCTTAGTTTTTTACCTGCTGACTATGAAGCATTTTAACAATATTTATTACCTTCTGTCTCTGCAGCTTTTAATATACTTGAGGCTGTCAATATTTTTACTCAGAGTATTAATCCCTTGTTCTTCCAAAGGTGTAAAGCCTTGGTGAGGTACAAAAGTATACTATGTAAAAATAGCAAGCTATTTTTTTCCATCCAGAATACACTATACATTTACCTATAACCACTTTACTCATTCAGTATTCAATGGATTCAATGTAGAATTCAATGTGGATGTAGAATGAAAGCTAGGCAAAAGAAGCTCAAAAAATTTATCAAACTTGCATAGTATTTACCAGAAGGAAATTAGACAAATTACTGTACAAATTTTAAATGTCATAAAAGAAATTGGGGAGAATATTATGTAATCATTGTGTTTTATGGTTCATTTTTATGTGAACAGTAGTGTCTGTATGTTCTTCTTTTGGTGTAAAGTTATCCAGACCCTTTGGGTATAAAGTAACAGGACTTAATGACAAGGTATGCTGGGAAATGTCAGAACTAAGAATCAAAACAGTTTTTATTTTAGTTATGTAAAATCCAAGGTGTGACAGTGGCAAAAGCATCAAACTGTGTATCAGCCAAGCAGAACTGCTTGAAGACTTCCCAATGTAGCTGACTGCTTCTTGCTACTGTACAATTTCCTGCAAAGCTCTTTTTTCTTTGTCTTCATAAAATGTTCTTAGTCTTCCCAGGAACTATCATTCTTCTGCTTAAATATCCCTTGTCTTTCTCACTCAGAGACAGCATTTTTACAGCCTATGCTCCCTGCAAATATTTCTTCAATTGCATATGCCACTTGCTATTTTAATTATTTTTTTTGCATGTCTCTCTCATCTCCTTGGAGATGGGAGCCATATGCTATTCATCTCTGTGTTACCAATGCCCCCTTAGCACAGAACTTAGTGCAGAGCATTTCTCAATAAAAGCTTGGCAAATTGAACATAGCGAGATCATTGTCTATAAAACAAGAAATACACATTTGGATTATTTCATTCTATCACATGTATTATTCTCAACTATTAAGCCTTTCTAAAGCTCTAAGAAATTATAAAAAGGCTACAGAGATGTGAATAATTCGACAAAGCAGGAGTTGAAAGATATTAATCTTCTGGTATCTAGGTGCTCATTTCGATGCTGATATGTATCTTTAATTTTGTTATCATGCCCATAGTCCAGATGGATTTTTATTAGTTCATCAAACAATGAAGCAGACTTGACTTGTATTTAAATCCTTCTAATTAGTATAATCTTAAATCAAATTGCTGAATGGGTCTGAATATTTATTTATGATTTTTTTAGTGCTTAATAAATTTAAATGAAATAAAAAAGCAATATATTTTTCTATGATCTGATGCATAATGTTTTGATAGCACCAACTGATATTACAGACTTTGCCTAATCTTCTGAGTTCCATCCAGCATCTTTACTTGATCCAAATAAAGTTTCATTTATAGGAGATTTTCATGCATTTTACCCCCAAAACAAACACTTTTGTTTCTAGATCAGAACTTGGTTTGTCTGTAATGTACATTATTGTGTAATGGAATTTTAGTTAGTCTGACACTTTCTGTTCTTTTGATTAGAGGCTCTAGTCCAAAGGGTTTTCTGGAAAAAAAAAAAAAAAAAAAAAAAAAACACTTTTCCACAAATTGGCAGTAAAGATGAATAGTGAGTATTTATTATGCATTTACACATGCAACATTGTTCTAGGCACTTTGCATTTAATTCCCACAACCTTCTTTGAGACAGGAGCTCTCTTCACTTTACAGTTCTGGTAGCTCTGGGAGGAGTATATATCCAGATCTTATTCTCTTAAAAGAGTAAGTTCTAGTCAGCTGTGGGATGGGCACGCACTTTTGCCAAAAGTTGTGATTGACATTTGCTAATTGAGTAAATTAAGTTTTACAGGCACCAAGTTTACTTTACAGAGAGGAACTCATGATCGATTTATGTGAGGTACTGCCATTGAACTCGAAAGAAAGTCATGTCCAAGGTCACAGCTCATGTGCTTATTCACACTCTGGCCACAAGGGGGAGATTGTTAAAGGCAAAGGAATGTGCACCTGCTCTTTTCCATTGTCAAGTTTCTTTTCCTTCGAAATGTGTGCCTTGATTTACAGTGATGCCTGGGCTGGGGTTTAACCTTGCTACAACTTTTCCAGCGTGTTACAAAGGTCTTCTTGTGGCTCTCTGCTCTTTATGCCTAATTACATCACTGGTTGGCACATTTCATGAAAATAAGATAGCTTTAGAGAGAATGTTTCCAGGGTGGATACTCAAAAACATCATAATCATCTAATACAACACAATTCAGCTACTCTTAAATGATATGCTTTCTTTTTTAGTGGCTCTTTCCTATAGTGTCCTGGCAAGTTCTCTAAAGCTACAAAATGGATAGGTCAAGAACTTTAGCTCACAGCAAAGGGAAATTTGATCTTCAACATAAAATTGGATAAAGGATGCAGCCTGGAACCAAGGGGCTGAAATTATAGTTTTCCCTACTTAAGATAATTATGCCTCATGCAGCCATTTAATTTAATAACTATATTATTATACTATGGATTAAAAGCATATGACACAATAAAAGTTTTGAAGAAAGCATTATAGAAAATATAAAATTGACTCATTTAATAAACTTCTAATGAGCCTAAAAACTCATCTTAGGCAGCTGTAGAAACTTAAGGGTTTAATGTAATCTTTTTTTCAGTTTCTTTTTTTTAATATTTGAAGTACTTATGTAGGTCATTCTATGTGGGTCTATTGAAGTTTCATCTTTCCATGAACGGTTCCATGAACTAGATGGGGAAGCAACTAAAAAATTATTATCATGAAAACTTAGATTTTTGTTTATATGTTTGCATGTGTGTTCAACATTCTATTTTAAGATTTGTAACATAGTATGATCAGTATAGTATTATATAGTATAATACTACATTATAATATAGTATAATATACATTATATTATTATACTGTAATCCACAGTATAATAATACAGTCATTAAACTAAATGAGTGCATTTGGCATAATTATCTTAAGTAGAGAAAACTATGATTTCAGCCACTAGGTTCTAGACTGCATTCTTTATTCAATTTTATGTTGAAGATCAAATTCCCAATAATGAATATTATCCTCTATACTGACATGAGAACAAAATGTATTTATTTTTCAATTGACATTTATTAAAATCCTATGGACATTTATAAAATCAATGACATAGGCCAGTCATTGATCCAGGCACTTACATCACTAAGCACAGGAGCCCCCAATCACTAGCACTTGGAAACAAGCATTCTAGTGGAAGAAATAGAAAAAAATTACTAAGTAACTTGTATGGCATGTTAATATGTATACATTACTAAAAAATAGATCAAAGAAGATTGAGAATGCTAGGAGGGAATTGAAATGGCATCAGAGAAGACTTCCCTGAGAAAGTGAAATTTGAACAAAGACTTGTAGCAGCTGAGGGAGTGCACCTTGCAAGTATCTGGAGCAGAGGGTCAGGCACTCCAAACAGAGGCAGCCTCCAGTACAAAGCCTACCTTAGGAAAAACAGATGTATGACATAATCTGATTTCAGTTTTTGAAAAATGCATTTTGTTTTTGTTAATGTGTGTTTATGTGTCTGTTGGTATGGGTAGAAGATCTAGGCTTTCTAAAACAGATGATAGTAACTACTACCATGATGATAACAGTGAACTTTGAATTTATTTTGAAAGTTAATCCAAATGAATATCCTGAGAGATTGGATGAAAGAAAGAGAGGAATCAGAAATGCCTCCAAGGTGCTTGCCCTGAGCAGCTGGAATGATGAAGATGTCTTCAAATGGTATAAAGAGGACTGCAGGTGGAATGAGAGCGAGTGAATGGTGGGGAGAGGGAGAAGTTCACTTATCGACAGGATGAATTTGAGATATTCATTAGACATCTCAGTGGCAATAGGCTATAACCCCCTTTTCCCATAAAGAATAACAACCCCTGGCTCAAGGGCCACTCTCCCCCTCTCTCATCTATGGCAGCCATCCCTAATCTAAAAGGCCTTTGTTCCTGCTGACATGATGCAGGTCACACCTTTTTTAACATACAGACTTAGATAGCCAACACTACCTGGCTGAAGTTTCAGAGTCACAGTAACACAATTGATTTCCTTGCTAGGTCAAATTCTTCCTAGTCATCTTATTGTAGTCAAATATTTCCTCAAATTATATACTTTATCCATGTTTAATTAGGGTAGACGTGCCACAAAAGCCAGGTCATTCTAACTGATAACATATTTTCCTGCAAATTAACTATGGTTTTCTGTACTTTCCTAAGACAGGAAGGAGTCATGTACTGTCTCAGAAACCGGTTTCAGGTTTACCTGACAGCAAACTTTTCCCAAATTGCTCTGTAGCTGTCAATCTAATCTCTATGGCTACTTAATTTTTTTAATTGGTAGGGTGCGAGAAGGTAGAACAGCAGGCATGTCTGACGTGAGGGAAGACTACCCTTCTAATTTTCTAATGAGAACACTTCATTGGCATGAGGAGGACAGAGGTCTGAATCTTTTTTAACAATTAAATCTTTGCATCTGGCATGTTATTCCTCCAAGACAGCTAACATATTCTCTCTAGCATCTATTAGAATTTAACAGAGTCAGTGAGAGTTCACAGGAAATTATTTCCTTGACACCTCGATGCCGGGGAGTACTTAATAAATAATTGAAATAACGTTCAAAGGACGTAGAATAAAAATACAACAGTTCTTCATTTCAAGAGATGTTTATTGAGGGTGTCCAGACTTTTGTTCTGTTAAAGAAAAATGTTTAACCTTTTTTCAGAGTGACAATAACCCATTTGGTAATAAGAGACAAGAAATGTGTGTGTAATTTATGCTACTTAGTAGATTGCCTTTGTTTGTCTTGCTTGTGGCACATAAACAGATGTCAAGAGA